ACATCTAACAAAATCAAAAGCGAGATGGCGTATTCAACAGAGAGTGACAACAACAAGTTGTATGAGATTAACAATCTCAGAATTTTACTTCTTGAAGAGAAGTGCAAAATGTATATAAAACCACTTGAAGACCAAATAGACAGAATCAAACAAATATACAACACTAAAATTGATCAAATTATTAAATCAGAAAAATTCATCAATGCGAAAAAACAACACGAAGAAAAAGAAGAAGCTGGGAGAATGAAGTTACAAAAAGAAAAAGAAGAAAAGGAAGCTGAGAGAATGCAGCGCGAACACATCACACTTGAAGAAAAAGCCAATCTTGAAAATTTGACGGGGTACAAAATAGGAAGTGTTGTGTTTAATTCGGATAAAGACGACTGGTCACAAGGCACCTCAGTGTTTGATACAAAAATTATGAACAAAAGCAACTTATGCTTTTTGGTGGAAGACACAAATCATAACAAATTTGGTGGCGTGTACACTGGAAATATCAATGCTGTTAGCAAACAGCTCAGCAGTGGCAGTTCTTACATTTTTTCACTTGTAAGAAGTGGCACTTTGAATCCAAAAAAGTTTGGGAAGACTGGAAATTGCACCAGTAATGAATTTTGGATGAATTCTCAAGACGATTTATATCTTTTTTCATTTGGTGGTGGTTGTGATATACTTGTGTACAAAAAAGGTAAAAATGGGAGTTATTGCGACCCAGCCACTTACATCGCCAAACAAAATGAGTTGACTGATAATGTCAAATTTACACCAAAAAGTGTCGTTGTCTTCCAACTTAACTGACTTTTTTGTCACTTTTTATTTACATTTTCAAACTTTGCAACACATTGACCACAAAATCGTCATTTTTGTAATTTGTTACGTCACCACAACTTGAATTAATATACACCACTTTAACAAAAACTGTCCTTTTTGAAGGGCCGGACAGACAGGAAGAAAACGGGTTTTACCCTTCAAACCTAACACTGGAACAAACACTTGATTAGGACTACTTCGATGTTTCTTTTTTCAGGCATCTCCTCTTTGTGTCAAGTATCTTCCGGAGATGGATTCACGACACCGCAACTCGCCGGGTTTAACAAGTTTCGACAGTTGCGGCATATCTACTCTTTGTGTCCTGTTGTATGTTTCTGAAGTATATCAAATGAAAGTAGTTTGGTATTTTTATTTATTATGGGTTTTCTCAAACTACAAACTATATGATTATATTAAAACCATGTTAAAGATAATATTTTTCATCTAAAAATGAATAGTACAAATAATATAATTAATTATAATTTAATAGTTTGGTAACACAATTTATTTTTTGAAGCAAAATACTAAGAAAAGATCAATAGACTTTTTACTATTATGGTTATTAACTCACCTTGGCATAAAGTAACTCACTTTAACTATTCAAAATTAAATATTCGTCGTTTTACTATAAAACAAACTATACTCATTAAAAAAAACTGTGTTTAGTATAATCATAGTTTAACAACTATATAAAGTTTGTAAAATTTATTATAAAAATAAACCATAATTAACTATATTTATAATACTCGAAAAATAGAAAATAAAATAAATGGTAAAGAAAAAATTTATTTGGTACAAATATTATCCAAAACAACAATATTAAAAATTTACAAAATTTACATTTATCAATTCAAATTAAATTGTTTTGAGTTGTTGTACATTTTTGTTATAAACTATTGGACAACGAATTTGATGTATTTAATGTTTATATTTGTTTAAATTTTAATCCAAAATTACATTATACCTAAACAAATACATATTTTCAATTTGGTGGAATCATTTTCGTTGTTAGTATGAAGTTACACGTTTTAAAATTTTAATGTTTTATTCAAATTGTATGACATTTCTAAATAAAAGTGTAAAAGTAAACAGTATTTTTTTATGAATCTTTTTTTTACATAATCATCAACAAGTAATAATTAAATTAGTCTTTATTTCGCTTTCAAAATTGTTGTGATGTTGAAGAAATACAATGGTTTCATTTTGTGTGTTGTGAGATGAAAAATATATATATAATGATAAGCAAGTAAAAATAAAATAATAAATAACATTTGTATATAATTGTTAACATAAAGTTGCTGTATAATATTTATGGATAACGATGCAATGACTTGATTAAAAAAGTATACTACAACAAATTCTTAAATTATTTTCATTGAACAAACAATATGTCACAATTATTAAACATAAGCTCCAATCAGTAATTAAATTATTTATCTCTTAATATTTTATCAAAAACATATCAATAAAAATCTACACGAATGTTTATATTTATATATACATTCGATTGTTTTGTAATGCCATTAACTTTGTTTTTTGTAAATAATAAAAAATGTACACAACTTAGAGACAACTTTAAACTTGTAAAAATATAAATATGTTAATCAACTTCATTTTTTAAATCACGTTTTTAACAATTAACGTAATTAAAATAATTTCATCATAGAAATTAATCAATACAACCTAATTAATTATTTTCAATGTTTGTGTTGTCATTAACATTTTACATAATATTTTGGTTATAACCAATTCTCAGCTGTTTAATGTTGGGTTCATCATATACTCTAATAAGTTATTATTCCGACATCTTAACATTTTACATTATTAAATTGTTTTTATATTAGGTTGTGTTTGTAGTAAAAGTGTACTTTATTGTTATTGTGTCTTTGTTATTCGTTGTTTTATTGTATGTATTATTGTAATTTATTAACAATTAAACCGGTTGTTTAGGTTATGACAAAAACATGCAATTGTTTATAATGAAAAATTATTTTTATCATTTTGGTTTTATATTATTCAATAATTTTACTTTAAAATATTGTTTGTTTAATTCAAATATCTTTTATTACAAAACTCATTTATTATTTATTGTATTTTTATTGATTGTTCAAAACCAAAATTAATACATTTTTAAAAAATGTAATATAATAAATTCAAATGTGTAACAACACATTCACTTCATTGTATTTGTATGGCGATATCTTTCGTGTTGACAACGATATAATTATTGAACACAATAAGTATTTTTTAAATCAATTAATCGATTTGTTTTTATTTTTTCATTTATGAAAACTTTAATTTAATAACAAAAATAATTTAAGTGAGTCAAAATGTTATTTATTTTTGTTTTTTCATCACAATCCAGATATAAATTATTTTGATTAATGGCAAATTTGCCCAAATGGTCAAGTTTTTGATTGAATGAACAATAATATAGCAATTTAAATAAAAACTATATTTTATTATTTTAAAGAAATGTTATTTTATTATTTAAAAAACCATTGAAATATTAAATTATTTTTTAAGTGAGTTACTTTTATAAAAGTGAGTCAAAAAGCGAAGTAGTGAGTTATTTTTTGACAAGTGAATTTTAAAAGTGAGAAGTGAGTTAATAGCCAATAATTAAAATATTACAATTGACAATATATAATATTAACTATTTTAAATAAAAGAAGAAAAAAGCACTGCTGACTGTATAAAGATCAGGTGTTTATTATAATTATTAATAAAATCCTTAATAACAAAATTGTTTTCAAGTAAAATATTTGTTTTTTTCCTATTTTTTTACTGTTTTTTATTTTTAACACAGAGATAGTAAAGATTATTTCAAAGAGAAACTACAACGAATAGTTTATTTATTATAATGTACCATAAATAAAGAGCAGTGAAAGTGTATTTTTTTGGATTTCAATTATCTCAAAGACTTTATTTTTCAAAAAACGATATGTGTTGAAGTCCTAGCCTTCGCAAGAACTTCAACTTCCTCAACCATAGTCTCAACTTTCAACCCAACCAGTTGTGTAAATTGTTTATATTACTGGTCTGCAACATAAATGCTGTACTTTCGGCACTACGCCATCTTTTTTGGGACAACACCATTGTATCGAATAACATGTGGTGACAAGACTGCAACACATCGACCATTGTTGGAAGATGGAAAGCTTCTATTTTGTGAACCATTGAGTGAACAATCCCAAGGAACGCGAAAACAAAGGCCATACCATCAATGGTAGCTGCACTGTGCATCTTCTCTCTTGCAACAAAATCCCTGTTGAATGACTTGACCAAATCGTCGAAGACTAATTTGACTGACTTTTAGCAAGACCATCTTTGTATTCATTTGCCATAACTGGGACATAAGCCTTAACTGCATGAACCAAGACATCGATACCACAATCTGCTATAGCTCTCTTTGTTAATGAGACACAGAACATTGAGTCGATGATAGTAACTGATGGAATCAATGAATAATTTTGCAAGTAGACACTTTTTGTTGGTCTCAGTGTCTGAAATGACAGAAAATGGAGTGACTTCAGATGCTATGCCAGTAGTCAAAGATTTCATGAAACAAATTTGTGTAAAATACAAGAAAAATGGCAAGAGTTAACACTGAAGAATTCAGATTTGGAAAGATCAAGATTTTTTTTCAATGTTGGTGTTCTTGCTGAAATTGAAGAGAATAGAAAAAATAGAGTCACTGAACTTGTTGGTGGTCTTCATATGTGTGCAAAAGCAATCTCACAAAGAAAACTTATTGAACAGAAACGCAATGAACGATTGCTATTAATGTCATTCAAAACACCATCCACACTTGGTACCAATTCAGAAACCGGGTCTGGTTCAGATTGTTCCAAAAAGTTAGACCAATATTCGAGAAGAGAAGAGTCGATGAGGAACTCGCAACTAAAGACAAAGAAATTGAAACTTTTAAGAAGAAGCTTGTTGATAAAAAAATAAGAAGAGAGAAGTCGCTGAGAAAGCACTTTCTGAAATTAAAATCAAGAACGTCGACTTGGAAGCTTTAGTTTAAAAGCTTAAAGAAGATATTGAGTCAAAGAAGGTTTCTCTTGACAAGGCGGGTATGAAGTCACGAGAAGAACAAGAACACATTGAGGAACTTCAAGGTGATATTAAGAGAGGAAAGGAAGACTTAAGCAAGTTAACTACTGAGTACAAGAAACTTGAAGCTGATAATCAAAGACTTCAAGATGAAATTACTGAACACAGAGCCACTATTGCTAAGAGGGATAGTGTTATCACCGAGTTGAACAAAGACATTGAAGATATGGAAAGCGAAATTTCTGACTTGAAAAACAAGCTTGAAGCCGAAGAAGACAATTCAAATGATCTCGAGACACAATTACGCGTGAAGGAAGACGACATTGCCGATTCGAGAAGGCGGTTACTATTTTGAAAGATCAAAACACTCGATTTGATGCTGCTAAGAAGGATATGAAGAAATAGTCTACCGAACGCAACGAAGATTGAGGATTATGAACCACAGATTAAGGCACTTGAAGCACAAAAGAAGATGGCATTGGACGACAAAGCGGAGGCTGAGAAGACTGCTGCGGACCAATCTGATAGAAGATGGAAGACCAAGTCAAACACTCAATGCACAAGTTTCATCACTTAAAGTCCAAGTCAGTGCACCGGCTTCTGTTGCTCAAGAAGAAGAGAAAACATGTTGAATTCAAGAATTGCTGAAATTCAAACTCAACTTGATGAAGAAAGACAGAAATCTGACCGTGCAGATGCTGCGAGAAAGGATGCTGAGAGCAAATTACAGGAAGTCCAGTGCAACTTAGATGAAGCAAATAACACTAAAGAGAAATTGACTAAAAAGGCCAAAGACTTGACAGTCCAAGTTGATCAACTCACCGAGGATAAGAAGAAGAATGATAATGATTTGGAGGAAATGGACAAGATGACCAACGACTTGAATGCTGAAGTTGACAAGTCACAGAAACAACTTGACACTGCAAATGATGACAAAGATGGCAATGAAGCAATGAAACAGAAATACCAAGACGAACTGAGTAGCGTTAGAACTGAACGTGATCAAGAAAAAAAGACCGTGTTAAGACCCAATTGATTAAAGGAAAGTACGAGAAAGATATAGCTGAAATCACACTCAGAGCTGAAACCCCTGAGAAAAACGTCCAGATGGCTGAACAAGAGAAGACTATGAGAGATTATAAAGCCGCTTCCGAAGAATTGATGAAAACTAAGACAGAACTCGACGATAAACAAGAAGATATGCGACAAACCCGAAGACAAATTGTCTGAAATGAGAGTTGAAGAATATTTGAAAATTTTGCTAAGACTTACAAACAGTCAAAAAATGCGAAAAGAAGTTGAAAGTGTTCTTGAACTCAATTGTTCTTTATTTTACTGTCATGTGAGCTGCCCGTCATCAAGCACCTGCAGCAACACATCAAACAGAACAACGTTGTTATGTGATCTTCTTTTGACACCTCTGTCGATCAGTCGTGAGACGTTGTGCGACATATATTCCGACTCATGTCAATTTTGATGTTGTTGTTCTCGTCGTTAAACAGCTCATCTGCAAATGTTTTTGCAGGTATCGGTTTGCCAACATCATTTACCCCGAGGAATGTGAACGAGTCGATCGCTTGTCTAAGCCAAGACCAATTTTGCTTCTTAGAATGGCCTCAGAGACCGCAGTCACAGCCTCGTCTTGCCTAATAACTCTTTTGTGCGGCTCGTCACCAAGTTTCAGGAGTCTTGTCTTATCGCTCTGAGTCGTTTTGCTTACTAAGATGTATGTTTATTAACTCACCACATCTTCAATCAGCTGTGGGGTTATTACAATGACAGCACCAATGTCTCTTTTGTCTGGTTCTTCAATTCTGTGAGTCGTATCTTTGCTTCTATAATTTTATGACACTTCAAGTCTGCGCAACCTCAAGATACTCTGTTGTCTGCTTCAGCTCTTCTATTAGTTGTGCAAACATCTTCAGCTCTTTGCCATAAGTCCATGATTTTTAGTTCATAGTGACTTTTTTCTTTTCTTATAATGCAATAAAAAACACAAATTTCAGAAAAAGATGTTTTGAATGCCAGAATTGTCCTGTTGCGTTTTGCCAACAATCCATTATTCTTCAAATTGGCATCGAGAAGAGAGCAAGTCGGTATAATAGTGTCCACTTTGCGAGGTGAAAGTTTTGTGACATTAAGAGCACTTGCCGTGCTTTTAGGAATACACCCCCAGTTTGTGAGTTCGGATCTCAAAGAGCTCAACAAAGACAACAACCACATAAATAGAGAACCAGGAAGACCTTCTTTGTTCGATCAGAAAACAGTTACAATTGCACGGATGTTCATTGATTACTGTTCCCAACAAAAATTGGCAATGACTCTCTCTTCCTTCGACAAATTGGTTCAGAAAATAAACAACCGCACATTCAACAAAGAAACAGTGAGAAAGTGGGCGCTTCGAGTTTTCAACTTGAAAACTGTCGAAAGAAAACCAGAGGATTTGGGAAAGTTTTGGTCGAATATTCCATTGATGTTGAGGTAATTGACACTTCTATGGCATATAAACCGATTTATTATTATTGTTGTTTAGTGGTAATATAATGTCATTATATTAATGCACATCATTTAAACCAAGTCTCACTTTATTATTTTGGTGAACTGACTCCCATTTATGATATATCCTACAATAATCATATATTTTCACTCTGTAATAAGGCTCCAATGAATTTAACTATATATCAATTTTGTATTTTATGAAACATGTCGACTTTGGTTGTACACTCTTTGTATTTGACTTTTTTGTGTTGTCTTATCTTCTTCACTACACAAGTGGCGCAATTTGTATGTTTCTTTAAAATGATGCCAACGCCACATCAACAAATTTCAGTCATATTAGTAATGTAACTGTCTTCCATCCAAGTGACAGGACAGTTGATAATAATAGTTAGATTCTTTTGGTCAATTTAACATTATGTTTCAAAAATACAACTCTCAATGTCAAAAAAACCTTTGAAATCACCGGAGTGGTTCAGTGAAATATTAATTGCAAAAAAGACATGCGTCTCTTTGTCGTTATGTGATGAATTATGGTGAGACTTTTATTATTCAACTTTTTATTGCATGTACAACAACTATAGCTTCATTAATGTTTTATATTTATTTGCAAAAACGGTGATCTGCGTACTATTTCTCTTAACTGGCAAGTCAACACCGGAATCTAATGTGGATTAAGTCGTTTATATCTTATCTGCAATTGGTTTCATTGGCTTATTAATTGGATTTTACAACTAAATAAGACATATTAAATCAAATTAATAAAAATGATAAATGGATTATAAACAGTTCAATTTCTTTAAATATTTGAATGATTGATGATATTCAAAAGTGATTATTTCACCATTACTTTTTTAAGTTATTGTAATATTTGAAATAATTCACAATTGAACAAAAAACTGAATTATTACTGAAATACATTTAATGCACAAGTAAATTCTTTCAAAAACACTTTATCTTAATAATTGAAATAACTATATTCTTTTTTGAAAATAACTAAATTTATCCTGCTATTTTTTATTACTATTAAAAACAAATTAGAACTAACACTAAACAACATTACGCACCAATTAACATGAGTTGTTTGTGGATGGCAAGTGTATATCAAATGGGTTGATGATTTATTGGAGCCATTCCTTCTTATAGAAACTTTCTTTCATATCCTTTAGTTGTTCCTTAACGGTCTTTCTGTAATTAGTTCTGAATGTAGGTGAGAACAGTGACATATTTTCTCCATTAATAAGTTTTTTAAGTCTTTCAGTTCGTCTCTGTGTTGATAGATTCTTATTTCGTTTTCAAATGGTTGGAACGCGTCATTCGATGGTTTTGTACACGTCATGATTCTATATTGTGTATTGTCTTCTGTTCTTTTCATCAGTGAGATAACGACAAAGGCGCTTATTTGTCTTTTTCTATTCTTATAATAAAAAACTAACAACAAACTATTTAAATGGAACGTAAGAATTCTCGAATCGAATTGTTCGTTCTCATCAACCTGTTTTTTAGACACCAACACAACCACATCATTCCCAACGTGTCTCTTCCTTTCTAAAACCTGTTCTTCTTCCAATAATTTCAATAACAGTGCAACATGGAACATGATATTGAATTGGTACGTGAAATTTGTATAACTATATTTCCTTGTCGTCCCCATCTTTACATCAAGTCCTTCTCTGTAATTTGAGTACCCTAATAACTCCGTTTTGTTCCCAATCAGCGCCATGAACTTGAAAAACGCCGGTGAGCACTCTTCCTCCATATTTCTAAAGATCCAGTTCTATTCGTGTTGTCCCGGCTTCGCGTAAATCACTCCAAACTTGAAATGTTCGATCAATGACTTCTTCTCCATCGTACAGAGTTCGTCATCAAGTTCTTTAGCATTTGCTTTTTTTAAGGAAGATCACAGTCTTCGGGTCTTTAAAGAATGTCTGCACGTTCTGTGGTTTCTCAAAGTCATCTTTCGATATCAAGCATTTTGTCACCTCCTTCCTGTTCCTTAAGTAGCATCGAGTGACTTCTTTATATCTCTGCAATAAGTCAACAAAACAATATTCACTTTATTTAAATTTTTGTATAAAAATGTTTTATAATATAAAAATCCGACTCCACGTCGATGATCGACATATTCTTCAGTTCATTTTTCTTCTCTACCAACTCGCTATTTCTCTCTAAAAAGTACCCGTCTTTTTTCACTGATAGAGGCACCAACGACACTCCAGTGACTATCCCATTATACTCTTCCTTCGGCATAACTAACAAACTACAATTGTTCAAGTGACCCAACCTAAAGACGGAATCAGAGCATAATAAGAAGACTAATTCCTTTTTTATTAATCTTCGCTTTATTTAGTCTTGAGTACACTTTCAATAAATTTTTGGAAATAATAGTAAAGAAGGGGGTTGTAAAGACCGCTATGTTCTGCTTCCACAGCGTTAACACTAAAAGTCTCTCAGAGTCGGTATTTTCACGCTCAACCTTTTCCTCGGGAGTCTTGGAGTGGCCAGTTAACACTGCTTTAATTTTTTTGTAAATCAATTTTAAATATAAAATTAAAAACAATTCTTTGTAAAAAGTTTGGTGGTTCTTTCTTATAAAGTTTAATTTATGGACGAAATAAAATATAAAGAATTGTTTTTATAGAAAATAACTATTTTTGATTATTGATTATTTACTATTATTTAAATATTTGATGATAAATGTATATTGTATTTACTTTTAATTAATTTTCAATTAATCTTATTTTTTTACTTTATAGCTATAAATTAAAATTGATTCAATATCAAATCAATTAAAATTGAAATAATTGTAATGGACTGTTATGTATGATGGAAAACAGTTCTTACCAATTGATGTTAAATATGGTACTTCCAAATAGCTCAAACTAATACAGTTATCAAAACAATAATCACCAATTGATTCAACGTTACGGTCTATTATTAAATCGCTTAAACTTCTACAATTATTGAAACAATATTTGCCAAATGAATTGACACTTTTCGGTATTGTTATACTGCTCAGACTGCAACAATTATCGAAACAATTATCGAAACAATAATCGCTGAATGAATTGACTCTTTTGGGTATTAATATACTGCTCAAATCGTTACAACCATAAAAACTACCATAATCAAATAATGTTACATTTGATGGTATTTTCACATCGGTGAGATTGTTGCAGTCTTTAAAACAGAATGCCTGAATTGAATTGACACTTTCCGGTATTGTAACACTGCTCAATTTGCTACAACCACTAAAACAACAACTACCAATTGAATGAATACTTGCTGGGAATTCCACCGAAGTTAGACTGTAACATTTCTCAAAACAACCATCACCAAATTGTTTAACACTTGACGGTATTTCAATATGTGTTAATTCACTACATCCATCAAAACACTCTGAATCAATATATTGAACACTTGATGGGAGAACTATACTACTTAAACTGTCACACCCTACAAAACAATTATCAAAAATACGAGTTATACCATATGAGATATCAACATTTCTTAAATTTCTGCACCAGCAGAAACACAGGCTATCAAGTTTTCTAATACTTGATGGAATAGTCACATTGTGCAAATGGATACAATTGCCAAAACTTTTGTCGCCAACAATTTTCACATTTTGTGGTATATCAAGATCAACCAAATCATCGCAATCGTTAAAACAATCACAACCAATTTTTTCGACACAAGTTGGGATGGTAATACCATAAATTTTTCTATCACCATCAGTAAATCTTACATGTTTGAATTTGATGGTTGGATCATTGTATTCATGAACAGTATCATATCTAACACAATACCACACTATGACCTCTTCAAAGACTCTCTTAATGTCATCTTTGTTATGGTTGAAATAACCAAACTCTTCATCATCGCCTTCAAACAAATATAGTTTTTTACATTTGGGAAATAGTTAATGGTTTTGGTAGTCAATGAAATTGGGTTGTAATCAAACAAATCCATGAAGCCTTTAAACTTTTTACAAACCATTTCCATGTTGATTAAATCTGTTATCTTATAAAAGAAATTTGAAATTGACATTAGATGACAACTCTCAAGTTTTGACATTTCTGATATTTACCAGATAAATATGTGTTTAAATTCTTTTAATTGGTGTTGTTTTTAAACAAGTTGTGTTGTATTGTAAAAAATTGTGTACTTTAATTTAATATTAAATTTAAAATATTTACACAAAATTTTAAGTGAACCATTAATATTAATATTATTATTTTAATATATGAAGTATATATATTACATATATTTAAATACTTTAAAAAAATACTACACAACTTGTGTAATTTTATACACACACAAATTATGTATTTTTAAAAAATATTGTTAGTATTTAAAAATTAATTATATAAATGATTTTTTTATGTAAAAAAATAAATTGTTATTTGAACTAAATAAATCAAGCAAAATCGAAACTATTTATATAACAATGTATCTTAATATTTTATAAATCACATTAAAAATACAACTGTCAATAATTTATATTTTCAGTTATTGTTGTTTTATTCATTGTCGTATTTGGTCGTTTAATGCATGTTCGTTAACACATTTTGATGAAAACACCATCATTTTTGGTTTACGTCACGTATTTAATTAAAAGTTTAATTTCGTTTATGAAAAAAATCGCTTTTATGTTTTTAAAAAGAATTGTTGACAATAAAATTATATTTTTTTATTTTTTATATGTAATTTTTAAGTTGTAAAAAAACATTAAACCAATTATAATTGATAAATATGCCATCTGGACTGATTTTTTTGAATTTTTCAACAATATACAGGTGAAAGTGAAGGTATAAATTTGAAAGCGGATGTATTAAGTTAGGGTTTTTGATACCAAATTTGGCATTTTTCTAGGTTTTATGATTCGTAAATTAAGCCAACCCCTTTGATTTGAATTTGACAATGAAAAACAATGCAAACAAAATGAAAAGAATCAATAATTATGTTTTGTAACGAAACCAACATATTAATATTTTAATAGTATTTTAATTATATCAATGGTTATATAATAATTCATCATGGATTTGTGTGTTTTTAATAATCAGCTAAAGTTAAAAAATGAATCAATAGTAATAATTGTTATAATTAAACCATTATAAATAGTTGACGGTGTGTTATAGTAAATTTGTTATTATTCAATTGTATTTTCAGGGTTTAAGACGAAACACAACCTGTTCACAACTGAATAAACATATTGAGGGTGTTTAAACGTAAGTGAGTGTTAGTTTTATGGTTTGTTTGTTTATTATCAACGCAGTTATTTAAAAATGTTATATTGACGTTCAGATTGGTTAATGCAGCTCATTATTACACTTTGGTTTGTGTTTTTCATACGCAAGCCGGTCGTGAAGGCCGTGAAACACAACCCAAAGTATCGTAAATCATTTTTATGTCGAGTGTTGTTTGAATAATAACAAAATAATGATAAATTTATTATAAACATGAATAATATAATGTATAATAAATAATTAATATTGTTATAATTTCTTGTGTTGAAAATTATAATAAATTTAATAATTTTGTAACTATAATATTAACTATATTTTCCTTTTCCAAAAATCGTGACTGTGTTGGAAATAGTAGTTTTTGTCCAATTTTACTTGTTTTTTGTTGTAGTTATGTCGCATTAAATGGCTCAAATTTAATGATTTACATGTTAGTTCGTTTTTGACCAATAGATTAAAAGAAAATGAACCCTAAATTAATATATTCGCTTTCAAATTAATACCTTCATTTTCACCCCTGTAAATATATCTCAAAAATTCAAGAATATAACAACCAATAAAACATTAGGTTGATTTAACTGTATACAGATACAGGAAAAACCAGTAACGAAATCATAAACCAGGGACCAGACTAAATTAAGCTGTTTTATTTTTGGTTTAAAGTTTTTTTGTTAAAGTAAAATCCCCAAATAATCAGGTTTTTGGAGGATATGTTGGTTTATTTTCAAAAACCAGGGACCAACTATTAATAAACACACTATTTTTCAAATAAAATAGAAAAACTATAAAATATGAAACTCTTAATTAATCATTTGAAGCTGTCTTATTTTTTAATGCCCAGCCAAAGTAAAGTTTGTTCTTTGTATTGATTTATCTTCCATTGTTTAATATACCTTTAATAATTATCAATAATTTACTGAATGCCTAATGTTTATATTATTTATTTATTTATTTATTCTTTACTTTATTTTTATGAACCACATGAGTCACTTTTTATGCTGAACGAAAAGTGACTCATTGAATCAACCAAGTGAATAGAGAAGAATTCATTGGTGTCTTTGAAAAAATGAATTAACAATTTAATTGAATGGTTGTGTTGAAGTTAAACATAATTGAACAAAAGAATAATATTTTATAAATTAATAATAATAAATAATAATAAACTTACTTTTGTAGCTCACATTAAGCTATTGTTTATTCATACTTTATACAACACATTCATTTTTTTTCATCCCGAAAAATAACCATTTTTAAGACCAAATAATAAGAAAATTACACTTTTATTTATATATTTGCCCGTTTTATTGTATAAAATCCGCTTAATATTCAATAGCTAAAATTAGTCTGGTCCATGGTTTTTCCTGTATTCCCTGTTAATTCCGCTATCTGTAATAATATTATTAATTGATAATCAATTAATATTTTTGAATTTAAATTGTAAATCGAAAACTCATTTTATTTTTTTCAACATGAATAAAACAAATATGATAAACTATTACAATTTATCAAACATAAAAATTACACATTGTGTAGTTTATTACATAAATATAAAAATAATAATCTAATATTTCTCTTTATTAGTTTTTAGTTATAACATCCTCTCAATTAAGATTGTTTAAAAGGATTTAAACAATTATAATTATTAACAATTATTAAAAAGAAAGAAAAAATACATTTTATTTAGACTATTGAAATTTTTCAATTCTACTTTTTATCCACAATGATTTTAACTGTTATTACAAATTTTTCTTTAATAATTTTTAATTTATTTGTTTTGGGGTTTTGGTAATTATTTTAACCCTTCCAATACCAGAAATATTATTGTTATAACACGCATACATATGAATATAAACTTAAATCGGTAAACTAAAAGTTGTTCTAAATTAAACAGTATTTAGTTTTAATATGA